GTTGGGGGCGATATGCTGACTCTGTAAACCGCTTAGAGAGGGCTAAAAGCCCTATGAAGCGGTATATAAGTCTAACTGCTATTGCTATTGCTATTTGTTGTTCTAACTATCAGGAAATTTCTCCTTAGTTCCCAGTTGCTTTTCTCCTTGGTGAGTTTCCATCCATTGTTTCCTGTCTTGCATTCTGGTGCTTTGGAGAAAGAGGTTAATCCCCTCTTCTTTATGGCAACTCCTTAGATATTGGAACACTGCTGTCATGTCATCTCTCATCCTTCTTTTCCAATCTGACTTTCGGTTGGGTTTGTGTATTGGAACGTGCCCCAAGAAGAATTGACTTCTGAGTCACCTGGAGGAAATGATCTTCGAAGATGTGGTCCTTGCTTCTCCCCTTGATTAGTTGATTGACAGTTCCAGAAATAGAATCTGTGCAAGAGAGGTTCTTAGCATAGGAATCCAATAGAAGCCACAATCATGTTCTGTGTTGCACAATTCCACCACGTAAGTGATACCAATGGTGTAATTTGCATCAGTCGTCGCACCTTTGAAATTATCCAGTTTAGGAAATCCATTTCCCAAGAACTCTTCTTTAATCAGATAATCTGGGGGAATAGAAGCTCAGAAGTCTGATTTCTTTTTATTTTTTATTTTTGCTCTTCTTTTCCTCTTATATCCCAGACAGTCAGGAACGATGTAATCTTGAGTTTTTTTCCTAATGCTTTCTCTCTGTTCTTGTCTCAAAGCATGATTACCCACCATTTTTTGCCGTAAAACTTTCTCGGTAGTTTCTCTGAGGTTACCTCTATGGCTCTCAACAAATGTATATATTTGGCATCATGTCGTGATGCCATGCGTGATGTCACTTGCTTCTCCCTTGGTGCCCACGGTGCTCAATATCATGCCAATGGTCTATTTGAGCTCTACAAAGATCTTGTGGAAACTTCCAGTACCTGTAAACTGCTTAGAGAGAACATCCGGGCTGATGATGCCCACATCTATCTGTCATTGTGAGACATCTTCCTGTTCTGTCAGGTGAGATGGTGGAATGTTTTGAAGAGGTGTCTTGGCTGAGTTATTCAACATGTATAGCTTCCTGGTTTCGTTGGGAAATATTATCCAGGATAATCTGTCCCTGATCTGGCTTCTTAAGGCTTACAGCCATCAATGCTCTAATTGAGATCATCCACCTTGGTGCTGGTTGTCTTCTTTTTCCTTCCACCATCCTCGGTATTACAGACTAATTAAGTGTCAGGGAATTGTGCAGCCTGTGTCCAAATGGAATCAGAGACCCTGACACGAACTTGTAGTTTTATCTAAATAAATAGGTTTTACAGTTATATTCTCAGAAAACAAGATAGGTGGGCACATCACTACGCCATGAAGTAAATTGTGAGGTAAATCACAGAAGAGCATGCAGAGCACACAGAAGAAAAAGGCGGGAAAAAGTGAAACCTCCCCCTTTACAGTCAGCAACCAATCACAATGCAGGTTGCCCCACGCAGGAGCCCTCACTCTCCAACCAACTGTGTGTTTTGGCTCAGTATGCACTTTACTGTTCCAGCTATTAAATTAAATATTTAATTTAACAATTAAATACCTTAATATTAAGGGACCTGAATTTGTTGTTGATCGATTATTCATGTTTTATCAAGTAACCACAGGCTGATCTGTCCCCAACTGGGACCTTGAGGTCTTGCAATAGTATATTCACAGTCAACTTAACTAAGTCCATACATTTTGATGTAGCTTGTCCTCTTCTGTTTACTTCAACCTTTTCCAGTTTTATAAAGTTTTTCAAGGAACTTGAGTTTTGCATTGATACACTGATTCACTTATGTGCTAGAGCCGAGGTGGCGCGAGTGGTTAGAGTGCAGTACTGCAGCCCCTTCAGCTGACTGCTAAGCTGAAGGTCGGTGGTTCAAATCTCACCGGCTCAAGGTTGACTCAGCCTTCCATCCTTCCGAGGTGGGTGAAATGAGGACCCA